ATCTTCATTTCTATGAAAAATTTATTCAGAAGACAGACCAACTTATTTCTCAACCAGTAACTTAGAAGCAAATATCTGACTAAAATGAATAAGAATACAACAGAAAGCCACAATTAAGTTGAAAATATCTATTACAAGAATCATGGTGTTAGATCACCTAGCCCTGTGGTCGGCAAACTCATTAGTCAACAGAGCCAAATATCAACAGTACAACGATTAAAATCTCTTTTGAGAGCCACATTTTTTAAACTTAAACTTCTAACGCCACTTCTTCAAAATAGACTCGCCCAGGCCGTGGTATTTTGTGGAAGAGCCACACTCAAGGGGCCAGAGAGCCGATGGGCTCTCGAGCCGCAGTTTGCCAACCATGGACCTAGCCCAACCTTTACAAATGAGAAGTAATCCCTACAATATTTACGACCGTAGTTTCAATGATCTTCATATTTCAATTTTTATTTTAGTTTTATTTGTATATATTTAAATAAATTTGTATGGATTTCAGAGAGGAAGGGAGAGGAAAAGAGAGAGATAGAAACATCAATGATGAGAATCATTGATCAGCTGCCTCCTGCATGCCCACACTAGGGATCAAGCCCAAATATGGACATATGCCCTGATCAAACCGTGACCTCCTGGTTCATAGGTCAACACTCAACTACTGAGCCACACCCGCATGGGCCATATTTCAGTTTTTAAAAAGCATAAATATTTGTAGAATATCTACTATGCATAGGACAATGTAGGTGAAGTGTCTGCAGTAACTGTACTCAGAAGTCATGGTTTTTTCTGTATATGTGAAAGTCAAAGGACTTATTGATTGAAGAACTTTTTGGAAGTTTTTGCATAACTTGGCACCAACAGTAAGGACATCTTGAGTGCACAAAAGAGAACTTTAAATAGTTAGGCTTAGCAATTTGACCTTTAGTATAATTATCCATTCAGCCAACAAACCAAAAAATAGTATCTACTGGATCCCAGTAGTTTAGTAAGGGATTAAAGAAATAGGTGAGTTTGATGCAACAATGGAAGTTCTATGAGAGGGAAAGAACGTATGCTGTGGGAAAATGGGAGATGGGCACAATCTGCACCTGGTGTTCATAAAAAGCACCCAGAATAAAATTTGAAAGATGAATGATGTTAGCAAGGAAACAGAAGAGAAAGAGCGCCAAGCATACAGGCAGCTTGTAAGAAGGCCTGGAAAGAACACATTCGCAAAACAAACGCAGTGTTCAGTGTGGCTCCAAAGGAAAAGATGAGGCTTGTAAGAAAAGGAGCAGCCGATCACAGGCCTTGTGTGTCAGGTACTTCAGTCACTTTAGGAACTTTAGATAGAGTTCTTAAAGGCTTTAAGTATGGAAATGATCTGATCAGATTTCCATTTTGGAGAGATGTGGGTACTGTGTGATGGCCAATTTATAGGTGGGCAATACTAAAAGCAGATAGATCAGTTATGGGACAGTTTAGTTGTCCATTTATTCAGAAATATTCATTGGGCCGAAACCGATTTGGCTCAGTGGATAGAGCGTCAGTTTGTGGATAGAAAGATCCCAGGTTCACCGAAACCGGTTTAGCTCATTGGATAGAGCGTCGGTTTGCGGACTAAAAGGTTCCAGGTTCAATTCCGGTCAAGAGCATGTACACTGGTTGCGGGCTGTACACAGTAGGGGCTGTGCAGGAGGCAGCTGGTCGATATTTCTCTCTCATCGATGTTTCTAGCTCTCTATCCCTCTCCCTTACTCTCTGTAAAAAATCAATAAAATATATTTTTTAAAAATATATTCATTGGGTACTTCCTATGTATCAGACATTGATACACAGAATGACACAAACTTCCAACTCTATGGAGTTTGGATTCAGGGCAAGAGATATGGATAGCCTGAAACAGAGTAGAAGAAATGGATTAGAAAAGATAAAGAGATTCCAGAGATATTTAAAAGATGAAACAAAAGAAAGTACAATAGGAATGAAGGAGAAAAAGGAGTTAACCTGTTAACCGAGTGGGACTTATAAGTACGTCAAATGTAAACAATATCTGGAACAAGGAGGACATATGAATATGTCCTTGAAATATGTGTTGCGCCCTGAAATGGACAGTATATATTTTTTGTAATCTTTATAATTGTTTGTAAAATTTATAATTTTTTAATTCGATGTTTCCATTTTTTGTTGGTATTCTTTTCTATTTGTTTGTAATTTTGTATTTTCCTTTGTGCTTTATATATAAATAAACGAAAAAATATATATTTCATTTATTTTAATTAAGTATAAATAAATAAAATAATATGAAATTACGTCCACCAGGCGTGACATACTGACATGTCCTAGTGAAAGAGTATGCGCCCGTATATACGTTGCATAATTAAAAAGGGAACTCCCCGGTTAACAGGTTAAAGATGGTGACCAGGTATTTAGCCAGGTGGATAGTGGTACAGAGGAGGAGCAGGCTTGGGACATAGTTTCTTATCAGACTTTCATGTCCAATAAACAATATGGATCAGAAACTCCAGAAAGAGATCTAATCTTAAAGTTCTTAAGCTGTCAATCAGCTGTATAAAGAAAGAATCTTGTGTGTATTACTCACCACTATATCCCCAACATACACAGGACATAGTTGACAATAAATACCACCCAGCCTGTGCTGCTAAATGGCTGAGCCTTGACCTATGAACCAGGAGGTCACAGTTCAATTCCCAGCCAGGGCACATGCCCAGGTTGTCTCTCTCCCCCTCTCCCTTACCCTCTGAAATCAATAAAAAATATACATATATATTTTTTCAATAAATAACTGTTGAATGAATGAGATATACATTTTGGAACAGTCAACAAATGGTAACTGAACTTACTAGAATGGATAATATAAGCTAGGCAGGGTGCAGAATGAGAACTAAAGTGACTCTTAGAAAGAATGTCAAGTAACACCAAAAGTAATGTAAGAGGAATCCAGAGAAGTCAGAAAAGAGGAAAATCAAGAGATGCCAAAGTCACAGAACCAGAATATAATGTTTCTTAAAGAAGCAGTTACTGAAAGAGTCAAATGTTGCTGAGGATTCAAGTATGAGAAGGAATATAACAGAAAGTAGAAGAAATGCTTATGAGGGCACGCACAGAAAATTAAACACACAATTCTCTTCTACACACGTACCAAAAGAGACTGAATTTCTGAATACCCAGTAATACTTGATTTATGATCTTACAGAGACTGGTAACAAGGTGGTTTTATGTTTGTGGTCTGGGAGTTGGCTCATTTAGCATTTCATCAATGTTCTCTATTCTCAGGTCATGGCCCTTTGCCCAAAGATTTCATAGAGAATTTACACATGTGTTTGAAAAAGTATAAATTACCAAAAAATCATCAGATAAGCAAATTTTAAAAAGCCATTTACTTTAAAAAAAAAAAAATACACAATCTAGAGCCTAGCAATTAGTTTTATTTTCTGATTCTGCAACCTGTGGCAGATGGTTTTCTTGGCCCATGTGACCCTGGCATTTCGTCCATGTGTGCATGGACTGACAAGAGTTGAAGGCTGAAGAAAGCATTTCTTTCATCCAAGGTTATAGGTCATGCTGAGCTTGCTCCTCACCTGTGTGTATGTAGTTAATTTCCCAGTCTCTTCCAAGTACATCCACACACAGGCAATGGCCTGTCTGAGCATGAAGACATGGCATGCATTTCAGAAGTAGTATATGACTTCTGTTGCACAAACAGTGCTAATAAACTAGTGGAAGTTGTGATCCCATCCTCAGGTTTTTTGCAACCCTCCTTCCCTATAAGATTGAAAATGCTCCTGAAATAAAGTCAATTTTGTTTGGCAAATTCAATGGCCTTCCTCTGAGGCAAATGGATCACAACATCAGAACTAAAAATCATCACTACAGTCAAGCTTAAAAAAGAAAAAGAACTATTTGATCTGGCACCAAGGTATCCATGACAAAACCAAAGTTTAAATCATGGTACTACTTTAAACTTTAAACGTCTCATATCCTAAAAACTTTAAAGAAGTTTTTGAAAGATAACATGTAATTCCTTCAATAATGAGTTACTTAGTAGCTTCCTTCCATCACCCTGTATTTAGCCAGGTGTTGCTAAACCCCCCCAGGGAACAAAGATGACTAGGACACTTGGCCTGCATGAGACAGTTCCACAGAAATAATGCCAACACAGCCTGAAAGCTAAAAAATCCTTGCCTGCCTCATAAAGCCAAAGACCTGTCCCTGCCCTCCAAAGCGCCACAGGGTTCGCAGCCCTTGCTGAGGCCGCTGAGGCCACTGCTGAGGTGTGAGCGCCAGTTAACAATCGACCCAGGACACCCGGAAACGGCAGTCTGAAAAGGTTGTCAACAGTCACACCTCCTCAGCCCCGCCCCCACAGGTCCTCGGTGTAAACTGAGGTTTTTAAAGGGAACTGTCCAAGGTTACCACCTGCCGGGGAGGATCGCTTTGGTGTGGGATGCCCTAAAACAAAGCTGCACACTCTACACTCACAGAGCGGCGCCATACAACATCCAAGTGTTGACAGAGTGTCAGCCAAGGCACGTAAAATATAAAGTGAAACCTCTTCCTCAACAGGGTTAAAGCGTCAAGAAGAAACTGACCGAAAGAGGGAGATGTCTAGCTTCCCAAAGCTGGAACCCCCTGGGAAGGTGCCGGGCCGGCCAAAGTTCCACATCCAGGAGAGAAGTGTGTAAACGGCTGCACCGCCACCGGACTCCTCCGCGGTGGGCGGAAACTTCCCCAAAGTACAGCCGGCAGCCAGACATCCTAAACCCGGAGCCCAGGTGCCCTCCAGCCAGGCTGCTTCCTCCCCACCCCTCTCTCTGCTCCCGGACACTCGCTAGCCTGCCTCGGTTTCCCCGCCCGCCCGGGGTCCCGGGCACCTGGGTCCCGGGGCCGCGGCCTCAGAGCCGCCCCAGAGGCCGGACGCGGCGCCCCCGCTCCCGGGCCGGGCGGGCGGCGACCCCCGGGGCCCGGCCCCGCCCTCCCCGCGCCGGCGGCGGCCTCACCTCCTCCGCGTGCTTGCGCAGCGCCTTCTCCCGCTCGTACTGGGTGATGAGCTGCTCGTTGTCGTCCCGCAGCAGCTCCAGCTCCACCTGGTGCTCCTGGTCCTGCGCGAACACCGAGTCCAGGTTCTCCAGCACCGCCACCACCAGCGGCATCAGCTCCTTCACCACCTCCTCGTCGTAGCGCCCGATCAGCCGCTCGAACTCGCGGTAGATGGAGCCGGCCAGGCCGGACACCCGCTCCGACATGACGGCGCCGGAGCCGCCGGGCTCCTCCTGGTACACCACCCCGTCCTCCAGCTCCATGGTGGCGGGCGGGCGGGCGGCCCGGCGTGGCCGACTGAGGGCCCGCAGGGCCCGCACACCGCCGGGCGCGGACGAGGGCCGGGGCCGGGGCTGGGGCTGGGGCTGGGCCCGGCGCGGCGGGGGCGCGGGCCGGAGGGGTGGGGTGAGCGCACTCAGTCCAACCGCCGCTGCACCAACTGCCGGGGCGGCGGGGCCGCGCGCACCTCACGTCACCCGGGGGCGGGACCGCGCCGCGTCGGCCTGAGGGGGCGGGGCCCCGCGGGAGGCCGGGCGCGGCCGGGGGCGGGGTCTACGGGTCTCTGTGTGGGGGCGGGGCCGGCGTTGCCAGTGGGTGGTCCGGGCGGCCCCGCACGGGACCTGCCGGACGGGGACCGGGTCTGGCACTGGGTCCGGCGGGCCGGGGGCTCAGGTCGGAGCAGGGGGTGCGGGCAGTGGACACCCTCATCCCAGCCGCCGCTGCACCAACAGCCTGAGCGGCGGGACTCGCGCCGCGGCCGCCCGGAGGGGGGGCGGGGGCCGTGGGAGGCCAAGCGAGGCCTGGGCGGGGCTCTGCGTCCTCGTGCGCCGGCGGGGGCGGGGCCAGGCGTCAGCACCCGGCGCCGCGGCCCGTGCGCTAGCCAATGGGACGGGCTGCGCGGGGAGGGGGGGGGGAGGTCTGCGCGCGCCGGGCGGGCGGGGTTTGCTGGGCGGGTCCCGGAGGAAAGGGAGGGGTCCTGGCGGCGTAGCTGGCTGTGCAGGATTCACATAGCTAACATTCCTGTTGCTTTTCAGCTCCTGAAGGGCGTTCTCGTGTGTTCCTCACCTCCGGCGTGGCGAGATACAGGTCTCGCCTCCGTTTTAGACCAGGAAAACGGGCCCAGAAAAGTTGGGGTTCACTCAAGGTCACGCAGCTAGAACGGGAAGGAGGCTGATCGGAGACTCAAATCCAGTTAGTTCTGATTGAGATTCCCAGGCTCAGATAAAAGTGGGAAACAGAGGGAGAGGGAAAGCAACCTTCAGTAGGACGAGGTCTAAGTGATAAGGTGGTCTCGAATAAGATAGATCAATAATAGATCCCGTATGGGGTAGTGAGAGTAAGGACAGCCTAAAACTGAGGAAGTGCAAAGCATTCTGGACAAGGGTAATATTCTAACGTCACATCTTGGCACTTTCCCAAACACTGAGTTTCTGGGCTTCTCCTGGCATTTCCTGGCTCCACTACCCTCCTTTCCTCTAGTCTGAAGAGGGGGCGGGGCGGGGCGGGGAAGTGAGAGGGTTGAGGGATAAAGAAAAGGGGGGAGTCACTGAGGTGAAAAAGTCCCATGATACGCGAATCTCCATCGCCTGGGAGAGCGTCACGTGCGGGGAGTGACACAACACTTAAGCCTTAGGCGGGCTGAGTCAAGGGTCGCTTCCTGGTGTTCTTTAGTTTCTGCAAATGGAACGGAAGGCACTCCCAAAAACCCCTTCTTCCCAAGCAGGTGACTCAGGAGTTCTGCGGCCCGGTCCGACTGTAATTAGAACGGGGGCTGGGAGAGGCAGGACTTGGATAAACAAGGATTTAGTGGGGGAAGCAGCCACCTTCCAGGGTCATAAATATCCTCAACTTGCTATTTACAAGTTCAAGTTTTTCCTACCAAGCACGCACTAGTCCCCCAAAGTCTCTCAATCTGGACTTTTCTAACATATGGAGGTTATACGAGGGTCAATCAATAAACACAGAAGGACAAAAACAAACGTACTAAACCTTGTGAGGTCAGACTGGACTGAACTTGTGATCTGTACCGCCCCCTTTCTCGCCTTCACCCACATCATCCATATGTTATTTCTATGTCTGCGTCTTAGTAAGGCTGATCAGATTGCTGGGTGTGAGCCCCAAATGCCCTTTTTCTTCTAAATCTCACATTTGAAACCAGAAACAAAGAGTCTTGCTCTGGATCTTTTGTCTATTTTTCTCTTCCAGAGAGTTATCACCTCTGCCATCTACATAGTCTCTATTTTCCTGGGAGTCAGAGGAGCAGGCAAACAGGGCAAGACTTTACTTAATGTTATCATAAGCATCAGAAAATTTAGAGAAAAGCAATGGAAAGATATATACACATATAATACTTTAAGAAAAAAATTTAGAGAAAAGAAAATGTTGGTTTTCAGATATGCAGTTATAATAAAACTAGAAGCCCAATGCACGAAATTTGTGCAAGGGGTTCGCCCTGCCCGGCCGCCTCTGCCTCGCCCCCACTGCAACAGCTTGGTCCAGAAGGATGTCAGGTCTAATTAGCATATTACTCTTTTATTATTAGAGATCTTCATACTAATTATGCTTTTTTTTAGTATAAATTCAATATAGAAAGATCTGAGATACATACTTATTTCTAGATTTTAAGCTCCTGCTGGCTATCAGAGTTCACATTATTTCTTCTTTTTATGTTTTTGTTTTTTATTTCAGAGAGAGGAGAGAGAGATAAAAATATCAATGATGAGCCGAAGCTGGTTTAGCTCAGTGGTAGAGCATCGGTCTGCGGACTGAAAGGTTCCAGGTTCGATTCCGGTCAAGGGCATGTACATTGGTTGCTGGCACATCCCCGGTAGGGGGTGTACAAGAGGCAGCTGGTCGATGTTTCTCTCTCATTGACTTTTCTAGCTCTCTATCCCTCTCTCCTCCTCTCTGTAAAAAATCAATAAAATATTAAAAAAAATATATCAATGATGAGAGAGAATCATCAATGGGCCTCCTGCACGCCCCTCCTGGGGATGGAACTGGCAACCCAGGCATGTGCCCTTGCGGAAATTGAACTGTGATCTCTTGGTTCATGGGTTGATACTCAACCACTAAGCAACACCAGCCATGCAGATCACATTTGTTTTAAAATAAAATTCAGCTCTGGCTGGTGTGGCTCAGTTGTTTGGAGTATCGTCCTGTGCACAGAAATTTGTGGCTACTATTCCCAGTCAGGGCACATACCTAAGTTGCAGTCTGATCCTGGTCGGGTGATATAGGAGGCAGTTGATCAGCTTCTCACACCAATGTTTCTGTCTCTCTCCCATTCCCTTTCTCCCTCTCTAAAATCATTACAAAAATAAAAGTTTAGCCCTAACTGGTTTGGTTCAGTGGATAGAACCTGCAAAATGAAGGGTCCCAGGTTCAATTCTGGTTACTGGCACATGCCCAATAGGGGATGTGCAGGAGGCAGCTGATTGATGTTTCTCTCTCATCTCTATCCCTCTTCCTTCCTCTCTGTAAAAAAATCAATAAAATATATTTGAAAAAATGAAAAATAAAAGTTTAGCTAAATACCCATTAACTGTTGAATAGATAAAATACGGTTTATGCATGTAATGGAATATTCATTATTCAACAATAAGAAATGACATACATGCTACCAACATGTATGAACCTTGAAAATATTATGCTAAGTAACAAACTAGTCACATAGGACCATATATGAAAGAGTAGTGGTTGCCTAGGACCAGGGGAATGAGAGAAAATAAGAGTGGCTGTTAATGGGTATGGTATTTCTTTTGTGGATAATGAAAATGTTCTAAAATCGATTGTGTGATGGATTCATGGCTCTGAATAAACTAAAAGCCATTGAATTGTATACTTTAAATAGGTGAACTGTATGGTATGTAAATTATATCTCAATAAAATTTTACAATTAAATTTATGTCTCTAATGACTTTATAGTAAACTACATAGAAGTATATAACTCAGTGTGATAGAGTGGAAAGAAAACAGTTTTTAAATTGGTAACCCCATATTCTAATATACTGATTTTGTAAACAACTTAAGTCAGAAAAATAAAGCAATAGTGACTGAGCACTGTACCTCCTGGGTGCCAGCCTCAGCTTCCTCTGTATAATGGTGAGGTGGGTTGCAGGATCCTTAAAGACTTCTTGTCACTCTATAATCCTATGATTCTCCTTTGTAGGTGGGAGTAAAAGGCGGGAGACAAGGCCTTGGGATAGAGTCCTATTAGTCAACTCCTGATTATGTAGGCGGTAATATTGCCTCCTTTACTCCCAGCTTGGATAAATTCCCAGCACCCACCTCTAGGTGCTGCAAGGGCTGAGATTATTGTTTGAGACTGAGAGTTATTCAGGGGAAAAAAGGTCATGTTATGGACTTCAGAGTAAATGTTTACACTTGATTCCTAAAAGGAAGGAAACTCCATTTTAAGATATTCTTTGGCCTTGCAGAAATTGAGGATAGTAATGGAGCAGCAGAGGGGAGGAGTTGTTGAGGGCAGGAAGGGAGGGGTTTCTGCCTAAACACAATAACTATAATCACTGGAAGACTGAAATTACTAGTCCTGTTTGTCTAGCCTTCTGGAGCTTTTACAGTTATTTCAATGCGAATCAGCTTCTCTGGTTTCACAGACTACATTTTCCCACATGAGAAGAGAGGGTCTCACTGCTGAGAGGAACAGGAAGACTCCTGTGTACAAAGCTCTCCACCTAAGTGTGAAATGGTCATTGATTCCCCCTTTGCAAACTAGAATGTGTTTGGTATTAAGGAGGAGCATAACCCACCCCAAAATATGCCTCTTTGGGATAATTATTATTTTAAGCTGGTTATTTTTTAAATCTTCACCTGAGGATATGTTTTTCATTGATTTTAGAGAGGACATCAATGTGAGAGAGAAACAGATCGGTTGCCTTCCGAAAGTGCCCTGACTGGGGAATGAACCAAACCTGGATATGTGTCCTGACCAGAACTGAACCACTAGACCTTTAGGTACAGGGAACAATGCTCCAACCGAGCCACACCAGCCAGGGCTTACACTGATTATTTTTAAGAAACAAAAGACTCAATCTTTGACCTTACCCCTTCCTGCCTAAAAGATTTAGATAATGGACCTGCTCTAGGAAGGGAGTTATCATCATAGATAACTATGGTTTAATCTTTAGGACCTAACCAGCCCTCCCCCTCCCCATCTTTTTTTTTTTTTTTAAAGAGAGAGAGAGAGAGAGAGAGAGAGAGAGAGAGAGAGAGAGAGAGAAACATCCTTATTCATTTGCCT